TGATCACTTGCGTCTGTCTGCAAAACTCTTTTTCCTGTGCTTGGAATCTTCAATGGTGGTGGTAACTGCGCTATCTTTTTTAAAGCGATGATAGCGGCTGTCTATTCTGTCCCCCACTGAGAGGGAGTCTTTTTTAGCATTTTTGACAGCTGGCTGGTATGTTCAGTCACGCGTGGAATGAAGTCTCTGAGATAATTGGTTGTCCCCAAGAACTGTTGAATTTGCTTGACAGTGAGGTTCTTATCTGGAAACATCAATAACTCGCGTGCTATGTGTGGGCCAGGCTGAAACTTTCCTTGGGATATCGGCATCCCTAGGAATTCCACTTGGCTTTGTCCTATCTGGCTCTTCTTTTCGGAAAGCATGATTCCATGCTTATCTACGATCTGATGGAACTGGGCCAGTAGGGTCTTATGGGCTTCTTCGTCTTTTGAGAACAGAAGGATGTCATCTATGTAGATTAAGGCACTGTACAGAATGGGCTCAAAGATTTGGGCCATCGTTCGTTGGAACAGAGATGGAGCCGTCTTGAGTCCAAATGGCAAAACTCGGCATTGGTACTGTGCCTCTGGAATACAAAAGGCCATTTTGGGCCTATCCCTTGGATCAATTCCCAGTTGCCATAATGCTCCTTTGAGATCAAACTTTGAGAAGACTTGGGCATATTTTAAGTGAGTGAACAGGGAGCTAGTTCTAGGAATAGGGAATTTATCATCTTTCAGGAACAGGTTCAAAGGTATAGTCAATTACGAGCCTTTTCTTTCCATGGACCTGTTCTAATCTTTTCTCTACATAGAAGGCCTGGCAAGCCCAATTTGATTTTATGGACTCGATCAATCCTTGCTTGAAAAGCTGGGCACATTCTTCTCGGGCTAAGGCCAAATCTGATGGGGTCATTCCAGGATGGGTGGCCTTGGTTGGATTGATGTCTTCATTCTTCTTAAAAGGCAATTGGATGAAGAACTTTTGGTTTTTCCATAAAGGACTGGGATGTTGGAACTGATCATGGCTGTCAACATAACATTTCAGAAGTTTATCTTTGATGTCTTCATATTCGGTTAGAGCTTCCTTAATTGAGAACATTTTTGGAATGGTAGAGTAAGGCTTGAACTGCCTCTTGTACTTCAATCCTGTAGGAAGGATTTGTAGTTTTTCTGCTTGGCAGTATACATCTATTCCGATGAGTAGATCCTTGTCTGGGAGTGAACTCCCAAGGATTCTTGTCCGTATGGTGCATCCAGGGAAGAACTTGATTCCGATCTTATGCTTGGTAATCAGCTCTGTCTTAAACACTTGGTCATCTGCAGCCTTGAAGTATTCGATGTGTGGTATCCAGAATTCTCATAGGAGAACTTTTGGATTCATCATCGTTCTTCTTGCTCCAGTATCCATGTAAGCAATCAAGTTTACTGGATTGTCATATTTCGAGGTTAGGACCTGGACTTCGACATTTGGCAGAGGAGGAGTCGGGACAATTATGGAATACTGTTCCATATTATAGACTAGGATGTGATAGTCTATGTTTCGTAGTCTTCTGAGCCGGGATCATCATAGTCTGAGTCTGGAATAGTAAAGACTGTGTCCATGTCTGGATCGTCTTGCTTAGAGAATAGTGATTCCAGGTGAGCATCATCATTGTCTCGATATGTCGAGCTGGCTTGTAATTGCTGGATGATTCTAGCTGACTTTGCGGACTTTTCTGGACAATTCTTTGTGTAGTGTCCTTTTTTCCCGCAGTTAAAACATCGGTCTGATTTAGGATTGCCACATTTCTTTCTTTTAAAGAAACAGAACTTCTTTCCTTCTTTTTTTGTCAAAATTTTTTGACCTTCGAGGTCGCTTCGAGGAACTATCATGAGATTTCTTTGAAAGGCTACAGGAGCACTTGTCGTCCTTGCATTTGATCTGCAAGTAAGGCTTCTTGCATGCTTTTTTTGAACTTATTCCTTTCCTTTATCACGGAGGATTGGGAAGGTCGAGGCCTGCGGTCACCGGGGTTCTGGTTTCCAGCCACGGCAGCTCCTAGCGGTCTTGGGGCGTCTTCTAAAGGCGGCATCGAGTTTCTTCCATCCAAGCGCTCAACGACAGTCATCAGTCCCCGCACCAGGTCGATCAGAGTAGTAAGCTAGGCCTGCATCTGCACAGGGTCCGGTTGCGGCACGTCTAGGGGTGGGACTTCATTCCCAACCGAAGGCGGGTCTTCTTCCATCCTGTCATTCGCCGGATGTGTGGCAGTATCTTCCATCTGGCTGCCTTGGTTGGTGGCCTCAATTCTTCTTCTTAGAGGCATGTTTGCTGACTATGTTGTTGTTGGGGGTCAAACATATGAACCAGAGATTCTGGGTTCGGTCCCCAGTGGAGTCGCCAATTGTTGACGACTAAATTTCATTAACAGAAATACGCCGGGTTACCCACTGGTATCCCGTTGGGTTACCGGCTGAAAATTAACTGTATATTTAAAATTATGCTATGAAGTGTTTGTTGTATTTTTAGAAGCACGAGAATAATGCTTGAATGAGAGGACACACGAGATTTATAGTGGTTCGCTCTGTTAATAAAGAGCTACATCCACTTGTGTATTGTATTTCTTTTTGGACTTTTACAATTTACATGTATCGTTATTCTTCCTCTGATTGAATATTAAGGAAGCCGATCCCCCCCTTTCGTGTATGGGGCTTTGCCCCTTTTAAAGCTCAAGGTTCCTTCGTGGACGGTTCTCCTTTGTAGGTAGAAGTGCTCGAGCGGTCTACCTCTCTAGGCCCAGACCGTAGCCCACTAATCACTTTTTGAACTGTTCACTCAGCCAATTGGTCTTCCATTACGGCTCTGTAGATTCCTATAATACTTCACTGCCCACTGTAGGGCGGTTTAGGGGATTGCAATTAATGTCTGTACTGCAGACATCTCCCATCCCTAGACGCAACTTGTGATGTCAGGCTCCTTTCTGAAGAGTATTCCTCTCGTCGTCTGCGCTGCATAGACCGCATGTCTTTCCTGGCAGTCGACCCTTTCCAGACATAGGAATTTTGTTGCCATAACATCGACAGCACGACTGGTCGACGGTATGTCGGCCCTAAGTCAAGCCTTTTTTGTAGCGTAGAGGGGAAGCGAGCTTCAAGCGTCTAGGATTGTCATCTTTTGAGAAAAAGTAGGGTCACGTGTCACGTTATCTCTGTTCCACATGTCACCCATATTTTCTCACACAACAAGTAATACATCCATATTTTCTTATGTTTTTAAACCAAATTGATGAAAATTAAGAAGCAAAATTGAAACAAACTAACACACATGGTTTGTGTTGTTTTAAAATTAGGCAATTAGAAAATGATTTTATCAACAACAAAAAAAAGGAGGACGAGCTAGAGCCATTTTGCGCTGGTCCAAGCCTATCCGAGCCGAAACTCAAGAGTGTTGGTGAGCCAGTGACGCAACGAGGACGTCATCAACACGCGCCCTTTTGAAAACGATCGAAGGAGTTGTAGTAGGTTGAGTGCTGTCATTTGCTAAAGTCACTGACAGTGGGACGAGGAATGCGTCCGTGTTAGGTGAGCCATCCTACGTGGCAGAATATTGGTGGCCTAAGGTCAAACAGTGGGCCCCACTGACCGAAACCCAAATATTTGTCACCATTTGACCCTCACCAACCGCATTTTAGCCGCGGGGTGATGATCATGTAGAACCGAAACCACTAGGCTCGTGTCTGGTGGCCAATCATTGAAAAAGAGCTGGATAAGAAGCTTTTACAAATGCAAAGTTGTTACCCGTTGTGATTTAATCATTATTTATGTTTAGGGTTGGTAAAGCCTTTATCCCAACTTGCTTCATAAATAATTCAAAAAAAAAAAAAAACCTGCTCCATAAAGAATTTAGAAAAAAAAAAAAAAAAAAAACAGAAAACGTGCCTTATAAAGAAAAAGAATGAGAATTTCTACCTACGCAAGAACTGGGGAGGGACATTTTTTCTCTCGCGCATTCTTGGTACACATTTACTCAACTAGTTGTTTTTAAGATAAAAAAATAAATAAATAAATAGAAAAATGAAACGCATGGAAAATTTTGAGTTAAAACTGAAAAACAACCTTAATAGTTTTCATGTATAATATATTTACCTTAAAAAAATATAATAGATGTAACACGTAACGGTAACGACTTAAAGTTTTAAATTGTTTATGACCCGAGTCCAATTAGAATGGATGAATGAATTCGAGACATAAAATTGTAATCCTTACATCCTAGAATGTCAAAGGCGCTAAATGACAAAATGTTGATTAATTATCCTTCTCTTGGGTAACAATTTTGTTCGAACTACAAAGGTAGAATTCACATTTTTAATGGACATATAATATAAATAGATGTACAATTTTTAACTCTGTTAGAAATATTTGTTAATGCTATGTTAATATATAAAGATCTATATATACTAGGTCTAATCAATATTTTCGTAACATGTCATATTGGACTAAAAATTGTGTTAAATTTAGATACATCTCAATTTGATGCGTACAAACAAGGATATACACCATTTATAAAAAATAAAAATAAATAAATAAAAACCCCCACATACACACACTCTACTAATAAATTATTTCAACTTTTAAGAGCAATTTTGTTCAACTAATTAAGAAGGTTCCAGTGTTAAGAACGTTATTTTTAAGAAATTTTCATCATACCATAAATATGTTTTGAGTGCTGATCAGTAAAGGTACTGCTCAAATCAAGTTTTACTCCTCTCCAAAAAAGGAGGGTATATATAGTGTAGTGATTACCACGTGGCACGTGGTAATTGGATCAAGATCCATATGTACATATGAGTTTAGACAAAGTTTTACGAGACGTCTAGTTCACGGATTAAAATTATGAGATTAGAATTAATTTTGATTTATTTATATATTCAAATCGGAATACGAATTTTCCAACCACACAACCCCTTAGACATGTTTTATCCATAACAAAACTTATAATACCAAAACACTCCATTTTCCCTTCCCCATCACCAACCAACGAGTATATTACTTGAACGAAAATCTTAAACTAAAGCAGGGAAGGTATTCGGAAAACCAACCCAATTCCTACCTTCTCATCTTTCCATCAAAATTTTCTTTCCATTTTCCCAAACTTTCCCTCCAACCAAACACCACCAAAATGGACGTCCCCCACCACCACCAAAAAGATCATGATCATCAAGAGGAATACATTTTCCGGTCCAAACTTCCCGACATCTACATCCCCAACCATCTTCCTCTCCACTCCTACTGCTTTGAGAACATCTCCAACTACCAAGACAAACCTTGTCTTATCAACGGATCCACAGGTGAGACCCACTCTTACGCCGATGTCGAGCTCACCGCGCGTAAAGTGGCGGCGGGGCTCGATGAGATGGGTATCAAACAAGGCGACGTGATTCTCCTCCTCCTCCAGAATTGCCCCGAATTCGTCTTCACCTTCCTCGCCGCCTCGTACATAGGAGCCATCAGCACCACCGCCAACTCTTTCTACACCCCGGCCGAGATCGCCAAGCAAGCAAAGGCGTCGAAGGCTAAACTTATCTTGACGGTTTCGACTTACGTCGACAAAGTCAAGAACTTCGCCGACGAAAATAGCGTCAAGATTGTGTGCATCGACGACGCCCCGCCCGAGGGGTGTCTCCACTTCTCGGAGCTTTCGAATGCCGACGAGTCCGCGATTCCGGCGGTGAAGATCAACCCAGACGACGTCGTTGCGCTGCCGTATTCATCGGGAACGACGGGGCTTCCTAAGGGGGTTATGCTGACGCACCGGGGACTCGTGACGAGTGTCGCTCAACAGGTTGATGGAGAGAATCCGAATTTGTACTTCCACAGCGAGGATGTGATCCTCTGCGTGCTTCCTCTTTTCCATATCTACTCCCTCAACTCGATCCTGCTCTGTGGCCTTAGGGTTGGGGCGGCGATCTTGATCATGCAGAAGTTTGAGATCAATAAGCTGTTGGAGTTGGTGGAGAAGTATAAGGTGACGATCGCACCGTTCGTGCCGCCGATCGTCTTGGCGATCGCGAAGAGCCCCGACCTTCATCGGTACGACTTGTCGTCGATAAGGATGGTCATGTCCGGCGGAGCGCCGATGGGGAAGGATCTTGAGGAGGCCGTCAAGGATAAGCTTCCTCATGCCAAACTTGGACAGGTAAAATATTTGTTTTATTATTTAGAGATATACCTTTAGTAAGATATTAAATAAATGATTCTAATTTAATTGGGATGTATTAGTTTTTTTTTTTTTTTTCAATTAATATTACTTAAAGAAAATCTTCAGTTTAGCCGACCAACAAAATCTCCTATTATTTAAACTATGGCCTATATATAGATGCGTTAGTAATACTATGATACCAACGGAATATTTTTTGTGGGACCCAGGTTAATGAATTGTGATGATTATACACTGAAATTAGAAGTCGAAAAGGTATTTAAGGTAGTAGACCACAAAAATAATATAATTTTGTTGTGTTAATTTTCACTGCTGTCCATTTTTATGGTACTATGTAGATGGACGGCCATGATATATATGGATGCATTTAGTATGTTGATTTAAGTTTTTAATTTAAGATGAGATTTTAAGTTGAAATATAACTTTATATGAGAGTTTTTTATTGTAGTAAAAAAGTTAAATGTAATTATTTATGAGAACTTTTTATTATAGTAAAATTTGAATTCTAAACTCGAATCGGTTAAATAAACGAGCCATAATATACATACATACATTTGAATTACTTGCGTAGTATGATCTGACTTTTTTACCGGTAACACATAATTTAAATCAATCATAAATCTTATAAAGAAAATAATATTATGGTCATAAATGAATCTTATCAAGTAATTTTATTCCGGCAAATACTTATTAGAAGGGAATTTGCCTGCACGAACTATTTTAGGGACTTTAATTACGTGATTAGGAATGTTCTTCAATATCAGGAGCCACTAAAGAGAATTTGGCTTTCTCTCAAACTTGTACGTATAGTTATAACTTATATATGGCTAATTACATGTCCACTCTTACACGTCAAAGTCAACGTCTTTTACTGGATCTACCAAGGCCGTCCTGCGTATGTTGGAGACATACAATAAATAATAATGGTCCTTTAAGGCTTGGTTTTAACGATATGATAAGATTTGCAAACCTTAAGGATTGGACATTTTTATGTTGTCACATTCATGTCCTGTTCTGACGGGATTCAAATTACTTATTTTTTAGTGTCTAAACAATTAAATTGTGCCACATTATTTAAAAAATTAAAATATCTTTTTAATTAATTTTTTCATGTTTTGATATTTAAATTTATTAAATGACGTGTATTCTTGTGTGGTCAAGTTTCAATTGAAACATTCAAAATTTAGACAACCAATTTAGAGTCCATTCCAGATTATTATGGCCTCGTTCATTTCGCTGATTCGAGTTTAGAATTCGAATTTTACTACAGTAAAAAGCTCTCAGAAACAGTCACATCTAACTTTTTCGATACAGTAAAAAACTCACATAAAATCACATCTCAACTCGAATTAAAAATTCGAATCAGCGAACTAAACGGGCCCTATATATTTTAAAGTTTGTCATCTCATCAATAAATGTCACACAAATGTGGTCACTTTCACTCTTTATGTACCACATAAATCATCTTTCTCCATGACCATATAGTCATTTATTAAATTATTGCGCCAAAATTTTGTGAGTACAATGTAATGACCTTTAGTGCTTGCCAATGTTGGAGACGTTACCAACGGTTCTTAGAGTAAGCAAGATCATACGTTACAGTTGGAAATAATTACTATAATTATTTACCCGCAAAAAAAAAAAAAAAAATGTGTACAGGGTTATGGCATGACCGAGGCAGGACCGGTGCTGTCGATGTGCTTGGCCTTCGCCAAAGAACCCTTCCCGATCAAGTCTGGGGCTTGTGGCACCGTTGTTAGGAACGCCGAGATGAAGATTATTGACCCCGACACCGGAGCATCGCTTCCAAGAAATCAGGCCGGCGAAATTTGCATTAGAGGTAGCCAAATCATGAAAGGTATTCACCAGTATTCTATTATCACCTTAACTAGCTCTTCCACTTCCTTTTCCCATTGTGGGACCTTTTTTTCCCTTTGAAATTGATGCATCAATCACATCACGAATGCATTTTCAATTTGTGTCCAGATGATTTTGCAGCCCTAGTATTCACAAGTTTTTTGTGATTCTCAAATCCCAATTTTTTTTTTAAATTAAATATTAGTATGATATCAACGAGCTGTAGAAAAGAGGTTGTGGCCGTATTATATATAATATATATATATATATATATATATATATATTAAGGGTACAAGGATTTCTATTCCCTTTAACAAGAAATCAACTAAGTCAACCTTTTTTTTTCCCTTTCTTTTGTTTTTGTTTTTTTCTTTATTATTATTTTTTTTTCCCACCGAAAATGCAATATTCTGCGTTAACCACTATGTATTCTCGAATCTTACCTAAGTCGTAACAACTCCATTAATTTCTTACCTACTAATCCAACAAAATCAGTAGTTACGTACAATACTTTTTACTGGTAAATATTGACAAATTTGTTTGAATGAAGTTACATATATTGTCTATGCATGTTGAAAAAAATATAATTAATTGGCTTAAAAAATAAGCATTCGCAGTAGTCTATATTGTTGCTAGTAATTTGTAATTTGAACTGGAGAAGAATCTTCATTCAATTTCAACAACTAACCATATATATATATATATATATATCGCTTTAAGACATTGTAGGTATGTTATTTTATCAATTCAAATTACAACTCAAAGTTTTTACTATATTTTTTTCTCACATAAAATTTATTTATAAACTTAAATCATTAATTTAAATTGAGAAAAAGACATGCACTGTGTTTTCTTTCGGTTTTTTTTTTTTTTTTTTTTTTTGATGAGATTAGAAAAGAAATTTATAATTTAAAATACACTCGTATATAATATCGAGTACTTTCAGGTTACGTTAATGATCCCGAGGCTACGAAGGCGACTATAGACGAAAGGGGATGGTTACATACGGGCGATATAGGATACATTGATGATGATGACGAGCTCTTCATCGTTGATAGATTAAAAGAACTGATCAAATACAAAGGCTTTCAAGTGGCCCCAGCTGAGCTTGAAGCCATGCTCATTGCCCACCCCAACATCTCTGATGCTGCTGTTGTACCGTAAGTGCCGTCAAAAGATTCACTAGCACTACTACTTCATGCTATAATGTATAGGCTAAAGTGGCGTTTATCTGGTTTAAGATTATGGTTATTTGTTCCGTTATAAAGTTTTTTTTTTATAAAAAATTTAAATTTTAAAAATTAAAATCATAAATTATAATTTTAAATTTATAAATCAAACGTCACTTAAGATTTTAGTACTTAATGGACCGATTTTTTGGTACATATCTAATCGTGGTCGAAACATAATAAAAATTAATTAACGGCTAAAAACACTTAAAAGGACAAGAAGAAAAAGTTTAATTAGTTTTTGTTACTTTCTTTATATTTTGTTACACATATCTAACTTTGGGTCCTAGCCCTTAATTTTGACATCTAAAGTTAATTTTTAACGAATAAGATTACTTCTAAGAGCATCTTCAATGTAATGTTATAACTGGTGTGCTAATAGAAAATTCGGCTTCTAATTCAGTGTCATTTATACGCCAAATTTACCATATGCTAAACTTGGTGGTAAATTTGTCATTAAATTTTACGTATGATAAATTTGAGCGCATTTGATTGTGATTAGTTCATACTTTTACCTTTTCTTTTCATCATTACATCATTGTTATTTTTAAGTTATTTTAATATTAAAAACTTATTTTTATAATTTTTAATGTTTAATAATTACCATAAAAGCTAGATGTAGCATTAGAAATAGCATCATGTATATTAGAGTATAAATACCTGATATCAAAATCCCCTAGCAGTACGCCAAATAGAGACCTAATCTTATGCCAAATTCTTAACCTTATTTTATTAATAAAAAGACAATAAATTACAAATAGTTCCAAATTAGCTCAAAATGCAAAGTAAAAGTAATCTCATATATAAAACGATATAAAAAAACCTAAAAGTGTAAAGAAAATTCCGAACTCTAGAAGGAAGCTTAAAAAAAAAAAAAGGGGGCTTAATACTACTAATTATTGATACTATGTTAGGTTAACAATTTTTCAAGTTTCTGGGATTTTATGTTCTAATCGATTGATTTTAAGGACTATGTTTGGCATGTTTGTGCAGTATGAATGATGAAGCTGCAGGAGAAATTCCTGTTGCGTATGTAGTAAGATCAAACGGCTCCAAGATCACAGAAAATGATATCAAGAAATACATCTCAGACCAGGTAAACATTTTGCGTATAAATCTGGTAAATAATAAATAAAATTTTTATTGCTAGACCAGGTAAACACCAAAATTAGAATTAAAAATAATAAATGCAAATTATAAGAAAACCTAAATAATCTTCTAAAAATATCTTGATAATTGGCTTTTGCTTAATGCAGGTTGTATTTTACAAAAGAATTGGTAAGGTTATCTTCATAGACAAAATCCCAAAATCCCCGTCAGGAAAAATCTTGAGGAAAGACTTGAGAGCAAGACTTACTGCAGAAGTATTAGCCAATTAAGTTTTCTCAGGGACGTATATCTTTTTTTTTTTTTTTTTAGCTTTTATCTTTTATCCCTCTTTTGTCATTTTTCTTTTTGTTTGTTTTTCTCATCTCTTTTCCAGTGTTCCCGAAAATATTGCAAATCAACGGGTAAAAAGCCATCATGAATTACTTTTTATAATGTGGTGAATCTAATTTCTCGCCCCTTGTACTAAATTTCTCTCTTTTCGGGAACCTTATTAATTAGGATCCAACGAAAGACATATCGGAGTGCTTTTACTTTTGTAAGAATGTGTTTATGTATATGAAGTTATTATGGACAACTTTGTAACTTACAAGCTTAGAATTAATTGTATTTCTTATCTATAGATTGTTTAAAATTGCATTTCTTTGATTAGTTAATCTGCGTACTTTCCTGACTTTACCTTAAAAAGTAATCTGTTTCTTACATTTTTGTAATCCTTGAAAAGAAATTAGCTGGAAAAGTTTATCTTAATCTGGAATTTACGAGTCATTATTATTGATCATTATCATTTGCCTTTTCTTTTCTTTTCAAATTAGCTTACTGCCCTGGCTTAGCATTAATTAGGGGTTGCAGGCTTATTTATCTTCTTTTTTTTCAACCTAATTGTTTGTTTGTTTGTTTGTTTTGTTTTGTTTTTTTTGTTTTGTTTTGTTTTTATTTTTGTTTTTTGTTTTTTGTTTTTTGTTTTTTTTGCTTTACCCGTTAATCGATCAGGTCTTATCATTCACAACTTAATAAGCATAGTGCATTTTATTTCCATATTTTAAAGTTCTTCCTTTTTTTTTCTTCTATCTCTATCTTGAATTTAAACTTTAAATAATAAAGTTGAATATGATCAAACAAAAGTATATAGTTTAAATGCACTTGGTAGCTTGAAATATGGATGAGAAATGGAAAAAGCTTCATATGGGCCATACATAATATACTTAAAGATTTGGTTAATGACACAAATTAGCTTTTACCACTCTCATTTTTAGAAACTGCCAGAAAACTAAACAAAATAATAGAAATGTATAACACTCATCAGCCTAGGAGTGCCTTTGAAAAACAACAGTCACAAGCAATGACGGAGGGAGGGTTGCGGGGGGCCATCGCCCCCATAAAGTTTTCTTTATTTTATTTTATTTTTTATTAATATAATAGTTTTAATTTTAATATAGTAGGTATAAGTATAAATTAAATTTGACACTCTTTAAATTAATAGTTCTCTACGTTTAAGTGGGCCAACCATTTACATATTTATATATGTTAGTATAATCTTAATTAAAAAAAAATTAACCTTCTCAACGAATAAATCCTGACTCTGTTACTGCTCACGAGGCATTTAAAAGAAAGTCTCCAATGTAAGCTCAATGCAACAATTATTCACTACCAAGAATGATAGCAAAAAGAGGCAATCCGCTACCACAACAAAATTTGGTCATAAAATATTGACTAGATTTTTTTATTTGCGTATCGATACTTTTTTTCTTAAGAAAATAGATTTGATACCATTTTTTGTTTATATAGGATTATATGTTTGAAAACCATTCGCGTTATTCATACATCTAAAAATATGGTTATTGAATAAAATTTATATTAGTTGGATAAATAATATTTATTTGGAAGATCTTAAATAATTTATTTTCACTTATTTATCAAATGAATAGTATTAAAACAAAATATAAGATACGAATATATTGAAAGAGAAACTTTAAAAACCTTATGTTACCAAAACACATATTTAGTAATTAAAAAAAAAAAAAAAAAAGAGTCTTGTGCCACCAAATGCTTCAATTGGTACCAAAAAGGTACACTTTGGTGGCAGAAAGTCACAATTTGCTACAAAATGTGAAAAAGTATCAATATTCTATCTAAGCCAAAACTTTTAGCTCTAAACCTTTTGGTGACCAAAATAATAGCCTCCATTTGCTAAAACGTAATTTAGTCACAAAATGTTTTTACTGCGCTCCAATCTTCCTTTTCCACCTCATTTATTGCTGCCAAAGTATTTTGATTATAGAATATATGTTTATTTTGTCAAATTTAATTGTGGTTGCTAAAAGGTTATTGTGAAATTATTTTCAAGTCCCCTCATATTATATGCGATCTGGTAATTCTGTTATTTATATTTAGCTGCAAAAAGTGTTTTACACCATCAATTTGATTGGGTAACTAAAAGTTTGATAGCAAAAAATCATTTTTCTTGTACTGTGTAATATTGTTTATATCATATTAGGTGTTTCGGGGTGTATTTTATTTAGAGCCCGTTTAGTTTGTTAATTTGAGTTGAGATGTGATTTTATATGAGATCATTTTATTGTAATAAAAAAGTTAAATGTAACTATTTCTGATAATTTTTTACTATGATAAAACTCAAATTCTAAACTCGAATCAGTGAAATAAACGGGACCTTAAATTTCCAGTAATCTATAGTGATTGACTAGGTTCATCTAGGGGTATGACCTGGCAACCAACAATCATTTGTCATTTTCGACAACCAATTTAGGTAGACGACCAGCAAGATGACCTTCGTCATTTATGGTTCGTTTAGTTCGTTGATTTAAGTTTTTAATTCGAGTTGAGATGTGACTTTATGTGAGAGTTTTTTACTGTAGTAAAAAAAAGATGTGACTGTTTCTAAGAGCTTTTTACTATAATAAAACTCAAATTCTAAACTCGAGTCGATAAAATGAACAGAACACTAGTAGACAACTCCAACAACGATTAGTGGTTATCTTTCAAATTTTTGGTCATTCATTTTTGGCGAATGACCTGTGGTCATCAAGCAAATGGCAAGAAAATTACTGAATTTATTTTTAAAAGATGTTTAATATACTACAATTTTTAAATGGGAATGAAAATCTTCTCACATTATCATATTTAGTATAAGAATTTTAATTTTCAAATTTCTAGAAATATAAATCGCATGAGATTTATTTTATCTTAAAATAGAGTAATCTGAATAACCTAATAAAGTGTTACTCACTTTTCCAGGATCTTAAAAGCACGAGAATAACACACAACACACCACAGTTCATCTTTTCACCACTGGAAATCTGAAGGCCTCCATCGTCATAGCCCCCAACGCCGCAGCCCCCACCGTCACAGGCCCACCATCGCGGTCTCACCATCGCCGCTCCTCACCGCCGCAGGCCCTCGCCATCACGATCCCTCACCGTCGCGGCCCCCACTATCGAGGCCTCACCGTCGCTACCCCTCAACGTCGCAGCCTTCCCTCGACGATCTCCGCGTGCAACGCCGGAAAGCCAGCCTCCTCGACGATCTCCATTAGCAATGCCGTGTGAAGCGCCAGTCAAAATGTTCAAATCTGGTTTTAGATTTTTGCTAATCAGATTAAATGAGAGAGAGAGAGAGAGATTCAGATCTGGTTTTAGATTTTTGCTAACCAGATTGAATGAGAGAGAGAGAGAGGGAAGAATCGGGAAGAGAATGGTTTCTTTGTTTGTAATCTTTTTACTTAATATTTATTTTATTCTTATTCAAATTTTAACTTCTAAAAATTTGTTTATATTTTTTTGAACAGCCAGCTTATAAATTTATTCCCCAAACTAATAAGATTATTTGTTTTTTAAAAATAATAAGATTTTTAGTATTTAATTATTTTAAATTAATTATATTTTTTGAAATATATTACATTACTTTATATCAACTAAATACAGTGAAATAATCATTTTAAGAATATGAGAAAAGATTCAAATATATAACTAAACTTATTAACACATTTTTTGAGAATAATATTATTTTTATCACTTTTACAGTACTATGATTTTTATTTATTACACCAAACGCTTCTTAAAAGTATATGATTTTAAATTTTTTTTCTCTTACTTTTAGTCAGTACTCTTTTTCTAATATATTAATCTTATTAAAAAAGGAATTAATTAAGAGTAACGCATTAAAATTATGATGTATACACTCTTAAAAAAGTATTTGTTAAAATTTCTCCGTGAAGATTCCGACCGTGAGCCATGGATGAGTCATGCGAGCAGTCCAAAATAACTTATTACAGATGTGTTATAAATTGCAATACGCCCAAGATATTTTTTCCTGTTTCAAGCTGAATAATAATAGCTTTGTTGTCGGAAACATATATATATAACGGAAATAATAGAAAATAGGTCAATATAAAAAGTTTAAGGAAGTATATAGGCTAATTTTTAATTAGAGAAATTAATAGGTCATAATTTATCAAGTTATGGTTCATAATCAGATAAGTTATGGACAAATTTGTCAAGTTATGGTTCATAGTCAGACGTTATGAACAAAAATCGTGATTTATGGACAATAACTTGTCAAGTTGTGGTTCATAACCAGACAAGTTATGGACAAAAACAGTAATTTAACATATTTATTAACTTAGGTAAATTATTGACCTATTAATTTTAATTTATCTCAAGTCTTTGCCTATTTCTCTTTTTTTCTCATATAAATGATGAAGAGAAATTTCTAATGGGCCTCGGCTTATTGTGGGCCTTTGCAAATCCCATTGCTTTACGGTCTTACACTTTGAGGCCATGTTTACTTATTCGTAATCGGAGTAGACATCATTCGGAGTGGACATGATTCGGAGTCAGAAATTAGAGTCAAAATAAGTTGTTTACTTAGGTTCCAGGAACTGGAATCGGAATCAATCCCAATCCTATTCATGCGTTTACTTACACTCAGAATCAGAATAAACTGTTATAAATTTACTTACCTACCCTTTTAGTAGATTTTTGTGTGTTCAACTTTAAAAAAAAAAAAATGTATATTATGCTAACTATATATTAAAATTACTAACTAGTAATTAGATTTTTTTAATCACACCTAATTATTCATCTAAGTTATTTTTCTCAATAAATTTTAATTCAATTTCAAGAAAAGAATATGATGATGAAATAAAATAAGAACAAAATAGCTAAGTTTTAAGTCATAAACTTTCAAACATAAGTTCCAAGTCATAAATCGAAAAATATATCCGGAATAATCTAAGTAAACTAATAATTGGTTAATCTAATACTTAAACCCCACGACTAAGAATTTTGAGGATGTATCCCTTCTTGAGTTGATCCGGAATGTTGTAGAATACACGTAACAAATTATGCTTTGTTGCTAAAATATTGGTGGCATCATATACTTGATCATCATCTAAGCCATCAATTTTCAACATTTCTTTATACACGTTGGCTTGTAATCCAGCTAAATCCTTATCAGTAGTGGAAAGCACATCAATGAGACCATCTAATTTGGGTACCATTGCTGCCACAGATTTGGCCATTGACCTAATGTTGGAGCACATGTTCTCAAATATCTTGTCTTTATTTTT